ACTCTTATCGCAGGGAGGACCGCTCCTGATCTGGGTCTGGAAGCAGGAGGCTTCTCAGGGTCATGCACATGAGTCAGAGAGAAGATGCCAGTCCTGAAGGCGGCTGCAGTGTTTTCCTAAGGACACTCCCTGCTTCCCAGCACCACCTGGGATGGCCAAACCCAGGAAGCACCGAGGAGCTCGAGAAATGGATCACCGAGCAGAAGCCGGCCTGCTGCCGTACTCCGTCTCTCCAGGCTCCGGAGAGCAGAGAAAGGGTTTCTCTGAGTCTATTTTAAAAACAAGCCGCTAAGAATAGCTACCCTCTACACAGTGGCTACCACGAGCTGGCCACTGTCATCAACAAACAAACACGTGCGTCAGGCACATTGTCAGATATGAGACCCACTCACCTGCCGGACGATGGTGATGATACCTCCCTGGGCAGATAGTGTTGGGAAGGACTTAAGGTAGGAGGGAGCCAAGGTCTACCTCTCGTGGGGAACATATCCTCACAAAGTGAGGGAGGAAGTCTTAGGGCTACAGGCGAAAAGGACCACTGGCAAAATGGTTACAAGCTTGGTTGTGACTGGAGGTTGGTGGGTGGATCCCACCTAGGGGCTCCCTGGGAGAGACACCTGGTGCTCGGCTCCACTGGAGATTACGCCTAGCAACCCCTAGGGGGCAGTTCTGCTCTGTCCCCTTCGGTTCCCCAGAGTTGAAACTGACGTGGTCTGGCCTTACAACAAGGACACACCCATTTCCGTGTCCCCCTGGGTGGCACTTGGCTAGGAACCAAAAGGCTGGCAGTTCGAGTCCCCCCAATGGCCTTGGGAGAGAGGCCTGCGGATGGACTTTGCCACGACCACAGACCCTGAAAAGCGTACGGATCGCAGGTCAACTGCCTCAGACAGCGCTGCCGAGAGGGATGGAGCCCCTGGAACGCGTGCTAGTCCCCTGTGGAGCACCTACTCGGCCGACCCTGTGGAAGCAGCTCATTTTCCCGAATCCTCTTCAGCTGTTAGCTTTCTTACACAGGTGGGGAAACTGAAGCTTGGGAGCTGCCCAGGCCAAAGCGCTAGTCAGTGGCACAGCTGGGAGGCACAGCCACCCCAGGCCTGGACCTGCAGGACGCAGCCCACAGGCCACCGTTAGGAGCCCTCGGAAGGGGTGATGATTGGTCTGATGAGCTCACCTGCTCCTCACGTCTGGCCTGCACGGTATAACTGAACAAACAAACAAAACCCTAAACTCACTGCCATCGAGCGGGTTCGCACTCCTCCTGCCAACCTGATAGGACAGGGTAGAACTGTCCCTGTGGGTTTCTGGGATGGTACCTCTTTAACAGGAGTAGAAATCCTCCTCTTTCTCTCTCTGAGTGGCTGGGGGTTTTGAACGGCTGGCCTTGCAGCTAGCAGCCCAATGTGTAACCTACGGCATCACCAGGCCTCCAGCCCTGTACGGTAGGCACCGTTCTATCCATTGGGTAATATAACAACTAGTCCAGTGACTTACATCCCATGGTGAATTAAGAATTCCATTGGCAGCTGCTTATTTCTGACTTGGTCTGGCCCTCTCGATTTTGTGGGCACTAAAGGGATGTTGTTCTCTGGGGACCAAGCGAACAAGGTTTCCACAGTGGATGAGAACGCAGGTGGGGGAAACGTTGCTGCCCGGTTTTCAGTCGCCTTGAACTCTGGGTGGCTGGCTGTGCTCAGTCACTCCCCAGCTTCTTACACTTTGGTGACACCACAGTGAGGTAACTGGCTACTGACACAGGAAGGTGCCGCCTGGATGGCTCATAGCAGTCAGCCAGGAGAGACAATCAGACCAATACCACTCTCATGCTATCCAACAGGAGCCCTGATACCACAGTGGTGCAGCAGTGGGCTGTTAACCACAAGGCCAATGGTTCAAAACCACCAGCCACTTTTCGGGAGAACGATGAGGCTTTCTACTCCTGCAATGAGTTACAGTCTCAAAAATCCACAGGGGCCAGTTCGATCCTATCCCACAGGGTTGAGGTGAACCAGCATCGACTGGATGGCAGAGAGTTTGACAGCTCCATTACTGTCCGCTTTGATCAAAACTTCTATAGATAAATCCTGATCCAAAGGGGGAATAAGCCAAACAGAATTCCACGTTCTCATGGCCCGCAGGTGTTCTGGAGCCATGGGGAGGAACCCCTTAACCTATTGCCTTGAGATAATCTTTAAACTTTAAACCAAAAGTATGCCCTGAAGTCTTCTTTAAGCCAAACAATGGAAACCAATCCAAACTCACTGCTATCAGGTCGAATCTGACTCATAGTGATCATACAGCACAAGGTACAACTGCCCCTGTGAGTTTCGGAGATTGTCACTCTTTGAAGGAGTAAAAAGCCTTGTCTTTTTCCTAGGGAGGAGCCGGTGGTTTGGAACTGCTGACCTGTGGTTAGCAGCCCAATGCATAACCGCCAGGCCTCTGCGCTTAGCTTCATTCATACAGAATGTCTGCCTAGGGCTCGGTGTTCTTTTAAAGAACCGCACACGGGATCACAGTGACAGCAGCGAATCTAAAGGCTGGATGGGAGACCTCGAGGGCAGTTGTGTGTATGTTGACAGGGAGGGACAATTTGAGAAAGGTAATCAATGTGCTTGAATGGTACGTGTAGAAGCTATTGCATTGGTCTATGCTCTACTGGGCACAAAAATAAAGGAATCGTTAAAAAACCAAACCAAACAAGCACCGCCCTCATGCTGGGGTAAGACCCATCGACCGCACCCAAAACCTAACAGAAGCTGTTGTCCTCAACTCAATCCTGGCTCAGTGACCTTCAGGATGGAGATGAACTGCCACCTAAGGATCCCCACGCTGTGACCTTTACAGCAGCAGCCACGTCCTCCTCCTGTGGAGCAGCTGGTGGGTTTCAATCGCCCACCTTTTGGTTAGCAGCCAAGTGCTTTATTCATGTTGCTATTGGGTTCCCTGGCTCCTGGTCAGACTGTGAGAGCACATTTCCAGGGGTGGTGCCGAAATGAAGGGGTTCTTGACACCAAAACATGAGTGAGGTTGCGGAAGGGCATCTGGGGCCTCTGATCTCCTTACTCCACGCACGCTCTTTCTTGGTGATTCTGCTCATGACGTCCCCCAAAGCCAGACTGCAGGCTAGGAAACCAGAGGGTCTGAAAGGCCGTCATGGTCCCAGAACCCTCCGTGCAGTCTGTGGGGGTGGACTACGATCACTCCCACAGGCTGCTGGTTGGCTTCTTTGCGTAGCTAGCATTATGGATCCGGAGAACCTTCCAGTATCTTTCGGGTCGGGGACCCATCAACATTTCCCTGCTATCCAAGATGCCGAGTCCAAGATTGAGTTGAACTTTGTCTTGGACGATCCGTCTCCGTGTCTCAACCTCATCTGGCATGATGTAAAGGGCGCGCTCCCTGTCCTTGTTAGACAGTGAGCCTTTTCCCACTAGGCCTGGAGGGTTAGATGCACCCCATTCCGAATGCGAATTAGAAAGCCTGGGAGCACGGTATAAGCCAATGGCTCTCCATCCCTGTGAAAACTACCAGTGCAGCCGGGACCCCCATCTCCCCCTCTTCCAGCCAGCCTCCAAGAGTGCCTGCCAGAGATGTCAGTGAGAAACAGGCCTTAACAACCCTTGACTGGGCTTTCTTTAGCTTTAAAAAATATCTTATTAAAACTTTGCTGACTTTACGGGGATTACCATGATTGACGAGAGGCCAAAGAGAAATTGAAAGCAAAAGATGAGGTGTGGGGGTGGGGTGGATACTTATGCAATCCCATGATGAGTTGAAAGCCACCCCGGCGAGAGAAGACGGAATGTTGCTTGCAATTGGGCTGGTTCTCAGGGCAGCTGGACAGAATGTGACACAAAAGCCCTTCCCTGCCCCCGAGTTGGGTTGAAGACAGTCCCTAAGGCAGCTCTCAGGAGGAGGGGAGCTCCCCCGGGAGACAGCTTCCTGGTAGCCGGTGGCCTCCTGGACAAGGCTGAGATGTTTGAGATGCAAACTTGTCCACCCGGAATCTGCAAATGGCATGAGGTCAAAGCAAAGGGCTTGCTCATCTCTTCTGCTCTCACCCAATTTCCTTTCTGGAGGGGTCTGAGGCCCTGTCCTCGTGCCCAGGGGGCTCCACGCACGTGACCTCCCCCCACAGTGTGCTGTCCAGCTGTTCTCAGTAACCCAGTCTCTGTGCCCACGCGCCTGTGTCCTTCAGTCCCCGACTTCCTTTTAGACACCAGGGGAGAAAGCCCTATTGCCCAGAGCGCAGCAGCAGCAGCAAGTGTTACGAAGGGAAACCGGCAAGGATGAGGCGTGACAGGCAGTTGTTGCCCTTACTGCGCTTCCCTGGCTCGTCTGGTGTCATCATCTGGCCTTTTTCCCGTCAAGGTACAGTGGAATCTAGATCTTTGGGATTCTTTTCTTCCGCTCGCAGCACACGCCCACCCCTTGACCCAAACTCCTCTTCCCTGGCTTATTTAAAAGCTGCAAAAGGAATGACCATTGCAGCCGTTTGACACGTATGTACGTACGTACGTTTGACATGTATGTACGTATGCCGCTTAGGATCCCAGTTGGAAGAGATTGTGGAATGGAAGGCAGGCAGAACCCGATCGACTACACCAAACAGCGTGGCCACCGAGCTTCCGAAGGCCTTCACCGCTCCTCCAGCGGGCATATTCCACGGTGGGGGGCTACATTCCACTCGGGTGCAGTTGCCACCGTTAGAAACCCCCCCAGGAGCCACCTACCCGTTTGTTCTAGCTTTTGCCCTCTGGGGCGATCCAGCGTCTGACCCTCCACAGTTAAATCTCTGGGTGGCTTTGAACTTTGTGGGGGCTGCTGTTTTCATTGCTGTTGCGGGCTGTCAAGTGGATTCTGACTCATCTATTGAGACCCGTGGCCCGGAGTTGATGACGTAGACTCCCACTGCCCCAGAGGGCTTCTGAGGCTGTGAATCTTTACAGAAGCAGACTGCCTCCACTTTCTCCCCGGGGTTTGAATCACTGAAAGGTTTATAGTCATGTGGCTAACCAATGAGCCACTGGGGCTCCCATCACTGTCCTAGATTCCTGCTGTTCCAAGCCTGGAGGGCTCCCTCTCTTCGCTGCTTTCCTGGTGCCCCGCTGCTCCCAGGGTAGGCCCGGGCCAGGTTTCTTGCCTGACCTGTTTGTCTTGCTTGCTGCTGGCGGTCATGGAGGCAGCGGTCAACCCATGGCCCTCCCCAGGCACACACGCTGGCCAGGTCATGGGCCACCGGCAGGATCAGACGGCTGTGGTTGGAAGTGTGCTTTTGGAAGCAGGCCAGGCCTTTTTCCTCCTCGTTGGTCTTAGTCTGGAAGCCCCAAGGCAACGTCTTTAGCTGCGTAGCAGGCCACACACCTCCTGACATCTGGGTGGTGGCTAACCTGTCAGGTGCACTGACTGGGAGGCGAGGAGTCTATCTCCGAAGCACCACGTGCTCACTGGTCCTGCTTGTGGTTGCCCTGGGTTACTGAGTCAATTTGGATGTCTAGTGACTTACAGGACGGAGAAGAACCGGCCCATCTGGGTGCAGACCGCCCTGTGGTTTCTCCTCCACCACCCTTGCAGTTAGCGGCCATGCCCATCACTGCTGCAACAGAGGGGGCTTCGTTTATGCGGCCCTGCCTTCACCTTCACCCTCTGTGTTCTCCCTGGACAGAAGGGAGCCTGCGGCTGTTCCGGCGTGGGCACGTGGGGGCCAGGCGCAACAGTCTGCCTGCAGGAGCACAGGCTGAAGCATCCCATAGCCCCCCAAATCACTTTAAAAGGGAGGGCTCCGCTCTCCTGCTTGGGGGTGGGGAGGAGGTCTCGGCTCCCACACAGGGCTGCTGGTCACCTCCCAAAATAGATTCCTGTTCAAGCATCCGTTCGTGTGCCCCAGCGTCCCTCGCCGGGAGACTGGCATCCCTCACTGCCTGCCTGCCTACCAGACCTGGGCCTCTCACACAGCAGCTCCCCCCCTGGGGTCCCGGGAAGGCAGCAGAGGGGCTGGGTGGGGCCGCAGCTGCCCACAGCCTGTGTGTCCAAGGCTGAACCACAGAACCACTCTAAGTGGGCACCCAGGGGGAGGGCTGCTTCTGGCAGACAGGTTGAAGTGGGACCTGCAGCAAGAGGATAGAACGAGGTGCGGGAGGGGTGGGGGCTCCTCCTGGCAAGTAGGGACCAAGTGTTTCAATATTGACAACCTCTGATCTTTTCCAATAAATCTGATTTTCTCCTTCCCCTAGAATGTCTGAGAGACTGCCCCGCCCACCATAGGGAACCTCACGGTCATGTCTGTATCCCGTCAGCATAAGAAACCAAACCAAACCACCTCACTGCCATTGAGTCAAGGTTAGGACACCTAGCGATGCTACAGGAGAGGGCAGAACTTCCCCAGAGGGTTTCCGAGATGAAATCTTTACAGGAATAAGAAGCCTTATCTTCCTCCCCTGGAGCAGCTGGTGGTTTCGAACCGAGACAGGGATACGCTGGCTCCACTCGCCCTCCCAGGGACTGGAAAGAGTGGCAGCAGACAAACCGGGTGCAGTGATGCTGAGGTTTCAGATGCTCATGGTTCATTCCCTCCGCTGCCCGAGGACTGCTAAGCTCTCCCCACCCCCCACCAATGGATGGAGCTGGCTGGCAGCCTGAAGACCCTCTGCCCAACTGGCCTCACTTCCTGCACCCCCTCTTGGCACGGCGTTCTCTCTGAAGGGCGAGGACTGCTTACCTTGCTTACCCTGTTCTGTGGGAACCCCTGGCTCCCTCGGGTCTCAGGGCATGGGTGAGGCCGAGGGGTGGAGGGCTCTGAGGCTGTGGTCCCCTGTGGCCTTGTTAAGTCTTGTTCCTGTTAGCTACCACCCATGGCAGCCCCATGTAGGACTGAGTCGAACGGCCCCCTGGGGTTTCTTGGCTGTCATCTTGGCGAAGCCGATTGCCAGGCCTATCTTCTGTGGCACTGCTGGGCGGGTTTGAACCACCAACTTTTAAGTTAGCCCCACCTGCTGCCAGACAGTTGCTTCTGACTCAGAGTGACTGTCTATGGGGCTTCTGAGCTGCAAATCGGTAGGGAAGTGGATAGCCTTGGAGCAAGAGTGGATTTGACCCCCTGACCTTACTACCTCCCTCTCCTACCCACCCCCTTCCCCACCGCCCACCACCAAATTCTACTAGTGACATTTTCTAGGCTGGCTCTCGGGGCTCTGACAGGTGAGGTGCTGACACGGAGTCCTAGGCCTCACTGGTCCCCAAGGGGGCCAGGGCCTGTTGGCCATTAAAGCTGACCCTGTGCAAAGATGCGCAGTAGAATGGCCTTTGCTGGAGGTCCAGAAAACAGGTTTCTTTCATCCTTTGGGGACACTGCTGAGTCTAGGGATTCTAGGCTCATCCATTTGGGGGAAATGGCTGCTCCCCATAAAGAGCCAAGGAAAAGGGAAGTGACCTTCCCCAAAGGAGAGACTAATGCTGGGTAGGCCGGTGAGGCCAGTGTGGGCAGCGGCTTTCTACCGCGTTGCCGGTAGCCTCAGTCTTCTGCTTCTTCAGCATCTGGGCCCTGGCTGGGGGCTTCTCCTTGCAGCGCTGCCTGGAAGAGGGGGCGGCTTCCCGGTTCTCATTAGCTTTTCCTTGGCTTTTGGCCTGGGAGGAAGGAAAGGGAGGGAGGGAGGGAGGAGGGTGACAGCTGGCTCAGAGAGCTCCCTGGTCTCCATCTGACTTCCCAAATGCATTCCTTGGCAGGCAGGGCAGGAAAAGTCTGCTGCAGGGATTCCACCGGCCCTAAGCCCCACTCTCTTGGCTTCCGGCCCTTTGTGGCTTCAATTCCAAGGAGCACCTTGACAAAGCGAAAGGGGGAGGTTCTCCTGGGAGGTGGATGGGCACCTCACCCCCTTCTTCTCCGAAGCCTCCAGGGCTTGTGTTGGCCTGGGACCCCATTTCCCAGCTTTGTAGCCCATGGCAGCCTCAGGTGAATCTCTCCAGAGAGCAACGAGGCTTCAACTGAGTTGCTGAGCAAGGCACCCTGGGAGGCCGATGCCAGCATCTGTCAGGTCCTTGTGGAAGCTGCAGTTGGTTTGCCCTGAAACTGCTCCCCTACAGGTGGATGTTTTGAACCCTCCTGGAAGTACCACCGGAGAAAAGGCCTGGGGATCTGCTTCCATTAAGATTACAGCCAAGATGGACAGGACTACATGGAGATGCTCGTGGATACCACGAGGTCTGGCAGAGGGATAATCCTACTTACTTATGTGCCTGGGCTGCAAATAGATCCATGTGCATGGTGGATCAGGTGGAGCTGGTAAGGTGGACCTAACCAGACGCCTTGGGGGAGTGAGTCATTTGGCCTGGGGAATTGAAATCCTGGTCTTGGGGACTATCGAGGTCAATTGGCATAACATAGTCCACAGGGACAGTATTCTACTTTGGTGAGCAGTAGCTGGGGTCTTGCGGGTTTGCACAGGGCCACCTAAGAGCCACCTTCTGGAGCAATGAGGAGTGGAGATGACCAGAGGCTCAGGAGACAACTGGATGGATGGCTGTCAGAAGGCTGTGAAGCACAGCTCCACTGCCCGGGGACTAGGGGACTAAATGCGCCAGCTACCACTGCCCACTGCTCTGCTCAGGGGCATGGTGGAGGGTCCTGCACAGAGTTGCGGGAAAGATGTAGGACAAGGATCGAAGGCAGAGAAGGCCAGATTCACTGGTCTGGTGGGAGCCCCTGAGACTATGGCCCTTGGACACCCTTCAGACCTGGGGCTAAACCACCTTTGGGGAATACCTTTGGGGCAAGCAGTGGAGAAGCCTATGGACTGAATGGGGACACTCGTGCTTCCCATAGCCATTGGCCATGCAGGACCAAGGGGACAGGATGTATTTGCCCAGGCACGGCGCTCAGAGGACTGGAAGGGGCAGGCGGGAGGGACAGATGCAGGTGGGTGTACAGCCCAGGGGGGAGGCGGGAGGGGGTTTGCTGCATTGAGGGATGGTAGCTAGAGTCACGAGACAGGATGTGTGTAGACTGTTGAGCGAGGACTGGCTTGCTCTGGGGGTTTTCACCCAGCCCTCCCAGGACAAAGGAGAAAGAAGTTCTAAAAGCCTATAAGGGCAATCGGTAAAGCCGATGGCAAGAGGACACCGGCATTAAGCGGGTGGAAGAGAGCACAGCCCAGAAACACCCAAGGGAGCCATTCTGCTTGCTCACACTCGGTGCCCGAGAGCTGGCCACTAACAACCACCCACCCAAGAGAGCAGCCCCAGCCCCCACCAGATCCCTATTGTGATCTGTCAACCACAAAGCAGAAAGACAGCAGACATGCAATGCTGGTCTGGCTGCGCAGCAGGAAGTGGTCCTGAGCTAGCGGCTTCTCCCC